GTTGCTCATCAGTCCTCTTTCGCTTGTCACCTGATTCGTACCCCTCGTGGCGATCTTCCTGGCACTCTTTATCCTTGATCACGAATTATTTTAAGTGACCAGCCCTAATGAGCCGCTCAATTTCATCTTTCAACTCTCGGCAGAAATTGGTAGAGTGACCATAATCATGGTAGTACCGACAATATCTATCATTTCCTGCTGAAAATTTACGCGGTGGGGGCAGAGGCTTGGGTTGTGCGAGAAATTTGTCCTCCCCCCGCTCTTCCATCATCTCCAGGATCTCCTGCTGTGGCGCATTAAGCAATTTGTAATGCTCATACCTCGGACCCCTAAACTGATCTTCACCCGTAGACTCCTTAGAGGCAGCTCGTCGATCACTCTGTCGAGGCTTCTCATCTACCTGCTTAGCCTTTGTTTTGTCATTCTGAATGAAATCCGCTTCCGCCTCCTCCATATTTACATACTTGCTACACCTCTCGACGAGCTCGTCAAAGGACCTCGCAGGCCTCTTTGCCAGTGAATCCCTACATTTGCTGGGCCTCAACCCCCGCGTGAGACCCCCAGCTTTAATCTCCTCCGAAGCAGAAGGTACCTCCACACACTACTTAGTGTACCTTGAAACGTAGTGTCGCAGACTCTCCCCCTCCTTCTGCTGCATGTTGATTAGTGAGAGATATGTCTTCTCATGCTTCCTAGCACTCGCGAACTGGTTTAAGAACAGGGAACTGAACCTCTCAAAACTGTCAACAGAACCGGGTGGCAGCAGGTGGAACCAATCCTGTGCCGAGCCCTTCAAAGTAGTTAAGAAAGCCCGACAACTAACCGCATCGCTATATCGGTGCAGAACCGCTATGTTATCAAATGACCTCAGGTGTCTAGCAGGATCTGCCGACCCATCATATGACATGCTCAACTCTCTAAAGTTATTCGGCAAGTCTTCACGTCGCACCTCTTCCGAAAAAGGATGACCATGCGACCTGGCAACCCTTTTCCCTTGGAGTAGAGCTTGCATCTCGCGCATTTGTTCCGCTAGTTTTTCCAGAGTCAACCCCTCCTGTTGTGCTACCAAGGGTCGAGATGTCGCCGACCTATCGCCATCCTCATCTCCCCTTTCGCGTTGGTGCGTCTGGTGATGGTGCAAGGACAACTGCTGATGCACGGGCTGCCTTAGCGATTCATTAGCTCGTCGATCAACCTCTTGAGCCCGCCTTATCGCATCTGCTATGATCTTGTTAAGTTCTACCCTCGTCATACGTATCGTTTGATCTCCTCTTGTCGTCGAGGGGTTGTCTGGGGGGTTGGCTCCTCCTGCTAAGACCATCTGTTGATTGTTTAGAGGGGCCACCTAGCCCGTGTTCCCATCAGGGACCTCGCCGACCTGACCAGTTCCTCCACTCGTTGCACCACCGAGCTCCTTCTCTTTGTTTGTCGGGCCCCCCGATTCACCTGGGTTCACCACGTGCCCTTGAGCTCCTGTTAACGGTGTTGGGGTCACACCTGGGGCCAGCAACGTCTCCTTCGGGGTGGTAGGCAACGGCGACCACCCGGGCGGCGGCCCTGTTCCAAAAGCCCTCTGAGTCCACACCTCATCTATATCCTTCGTCAAATTCTTCTTCGAGTTATCTCCTGCCATGATCCCCGTCGCCCTTCTTCTTCTTTGGTGAGAAAAAATAGCCTCTGATACTTCTGGTAGAAGACTGAGTGTCCCCACAGACGGCGCCAATTTGTTATACCACAAATTCTCGAGCCGCTCGACCGCTCCTCCCGAACCGGGTTTAGTCTCCTTGATCGTCGGTACCTGCAAAACACGCCGGGAGTGGTCCTGGCGTGGACACTCCGACGCTCAAGTCAGTGGTGGTGTTTTGGAGAGAAAACGATAGAGTAACGAGATAATGTGTGTATATGTGTTGTGCAAAATGAATGAACCTATTCCCTTTTATAAGTAAGGTCATGCGCAAGTCGAAGAGTTCTTGTTGGTCTAGAAGTCTTCTTCGTGTCTATCTCTAAACTAGGTCAAAGATATCCAGAATTTCATAGTCCTTATCACTCCAAACTTCCTTGTGACTTGGCCACGAAGCCACCTCCAAGCTCTGGTCCCCCTCGGCAGAACCCTCTGGCCGAGGTGTCTAGGTGCCGAGGTGCCTAGCTGCCGAGGTGCCGAGGTGCCTACCTGCCGAGGTGCCTAGCTGCCAAGGTGCAGAGGCGCCTAGCTTACCAACCTTTGGTACTCCGCCTAGCTAGTCCTCGCCTAGCTCCCATTGGTACTCCGCCTAGCTAGTCCCCGCCTAGCTAGTCCTCGCCTAGCTCCCGTTGGTACTTCGCCTAGCTAGTCCCAGCCTAGCTAGTCCTCGCCTAGCTCCCATTGGTACTCCGCCTAGCTAGTCCCCGCCTAGCTAGTCCTCGCCTAGCTCCCATTGGTACTTCGCCTAGCTAGTCCCCGCCTAGTTAGTCCTCGCCTAGCTCCCATTGGTACTTCGCCTAGCTAGTCACAGCCTAGCTAGTCCTCGCCTAGCTATTTGTTCTCCGCCTAGCTGACCAACCTTTGGTATGCCACCGAAGTGCTCATGCCAAGCTAGCCCCTTGCCTAGCTCCTATTCAGTGTAAATGTGACCAAACTCGGATCACAACCGATTCTCCATGAACCTCTACTTATGGCCATATCAGACTGGCAACTGGAGGACGACTCCGCTCAGCTCCATCCCCTCAACTGGCTCCACCAAAAACCTCCGGCCAGTTACAGCCACGTAAGTCGAAAGCCCGACAGGCCGACCGAACAATCAACAACACAAAGCAGGGAGGCACAGCCGAAGGGGGAAAAGAGGTATGAACCGAACCTCAGCCCCGACCGGTGTTGAGAAACCTGTCGGAGCTCGCCGCACAGCCCCAACTCGACGCATGGAACCGCTAGAAAGCATAGGCAACCTTGAAATCAGCGATCCCTACGCATGGTTGGGACCTCAACGCCTAGGGGGACCGGCTTTGCGGGCCCGTGACGGCCAGCACCGGGCGGGCGGAGAGCTCGAATGAAAGGAGGCGGCGGCGGCGCAAGCTTAAAAGAGGCAAGGGTTTTTCCGAATTGAGGCTAATTGGATTTTAGAGAGAGAGTTCAAAACGTTATTAGAGAGAGAAGTAGTTTTTGTTTTTAAGAGACTGTTGAAATTTGAACTTGAAAACACGTTTTATAATGTGAGGAGAGGACAAGCAGGGAGCCTGCACTAGAATTTTGTTAAATGTGAAGTTTAGTGTTGCGTTACATTCTCGCGCTACTTTAGAATTTATGAACAATATTGTACACATCTGGCGAGGTATTATTCATAACTCTACATTTTTTTTATATATTGTTTGTATTAGTTTATCTTAAAATTTATTATTTAAATAAAGTTGTTATAAATAAATTTATAATAGGATTTTAGAATTATATGAAAATATTATTTTGAAAAAAATATATTTGTATTGAATTACTATAAAATGAATGAAAATAATATACAAAAATAATAATTATTTGTCTAATAATATTTCAAACCAATAGCAGACCCACTAACATCGTTAAAATATTTATTGCTTGAAATAACTTCAAATTAAATTATATTTTGGCATGTTAAATAAATAAAAATAATGTAAATAATAAGTCTGGAGTAAAATGTAGAGCGAACGTTAGAGACGAAATTTGATTTTTGTTTCATTTTCTAGAGTAAACTCTGCCGTAGAGGAAAAATAAAGGCTGGAGATGAACTAATCAAGTCTATAGTGAGAAAAGTACATTTTTGTGTAAGTGATGCCAAGTCCATTTGTCTATAAGTTTTTTTATTTATTTATTATTATTATTGATTGTTTGATTTGTNGAGACTTCTACTTTTTTTGACGGGATAAGAAACTTATATTAATTGATCAAAATAGAATCCTTACATACAAGATCCTTAAGCCAAGAAGGAAAAAGGTCCACCTTCCAAAAGAAAGGGGAGCTTGAAAAAGAAGCAAAAGACGCAATAGCATGAGCAATTTTATTTTAAATTTGACTAAAATAATATTTAAAATAAAATAAATAAAGTTGATTTGATGTAAAATTTTAACATATTTTATACTTTTAAGCACACTTTGGAAAATATTTTATACTTTCCACATATCCTCATAAAGAAATAAACATTAATTGACTATTATCAATATTATCAATATAATTGTAGCGCCCCGTTCGATTTATAGAATTTCTCGAGTTATTCTATTTATCGAATATTATTTGTAAGGTTATATTTATTTTATTAGTCGCGATGTCGACTTAAATATAAGGTTGGAATACTCGATCGTTTTATTGGAAAACGTTCGTTGTACGGCGATTTCGATTCAATCGCGTGAACCGAATATAATCCGTTTGAATTATGAAATTTTGAGAATTAATTATTATTATTATTATTATTATTATTATTATTATTATTATTATTATTATTATTTATTTATTTATTTATTTGTTGTTCTTATTATTTGTGGAATGCTAAAATAATTAAATGTCTAATATGATTTAATTGCCTAATTGTCTAAGTGTTAGTATTTAATTAAATGTGTATTTGTATTTTTACTAATATTATCATTATTTTAAAAATTTAATTGTGTGTATTATAAATATATATTATGTTGGGATATTTATTTTATCGTGCGATTTAATTTATCGAGCTCGAGAAACTGTATTATTTCTACGTAGTCGGGCCCGAGAGCCAATACGCTTTATTGAACCGAACCCGCGAGCCCGATAAACCGCCGGCCCAACCCGTGAAAATTCAACCCGTGAGTGGGTGTTTGTGTCTTATTGGCAAGACATAAAACCTATTATATGAATGTATATATATGCATTCACGCCCTTCTCTTCTCTCAATTATATTCAGAACCCTTTCCGCAGCTTCTCTCGAGAGTTTCAGAAAACTCAACTGATCGTCCCTCTCTTCCCTAACATCATCGGTCACCTCCTTCCTTGAAGTTCTCGAGCAGAGAAAAATTTTTTTCCTTTCCAATCATCTTCTTCGCCGTGAACTTTCATCACCATCACCTCGTCGGCCACATCTCATCGCCGTTTTCCCGGCAAACTGCTGTCCTTCTTCCGCTGCAAGCCTGTCGTCAACCCCCCTTCGCGAGCTCATCTCCACCGTGAGCTGACCCTCGCTGCAACTTCCGAGCGAGGTCCTCCCCGCTGCAAGTCCATCCCCGACAAACTCCAGTGATCTTCCCCTGCGTCTCGAAGCCTGCTCCGCCACGACCTGCAACACCGGCGGCCTCTCCTCATCGCAGCACCTCCTCCGACGTGAGTAGCAGCGCCTCCCGAGCCGCTGCAAGCCCCGACGACCCTCCTCCTCTCTTTGAGCAGCAACTCGCCGACCATCTCCGGCGTTCAAGCAACCGCTTCCAATGATCGAGCCGCCGCTGCACTTCCTTTCTGTGAGATGAAGCTTGCAGTCGAGCCTCGATCCGTCTTCGCGTGCCGTTCGTTCACTTTCGTTTCGTTCGAACGTTTATTTCCCGAGAACGGTACCTAGTCGATCTTGTCTTGTTTAACTCGTATATATTTTATTGCGTTATGTGTTTATTGTCGTGAAGTGCTCGTTGCAATTTAATGTATGTGCGATAATGTGTTCGTTGCGATATTTCGTGAGGTTATGATTTCATGTGTTGTTTACGTGTTCGGGATCTCTTCGATTTTTAAAAAGAATCGAGCGAGACCTCGAAACTCGTGTAAGTCAGTGGATAATGGAACAATGTCGAGTCCTTGGTCTTACGAGAAGGCCTCGGACGATAAAATTTCGTGTTATGAATTAATTGTTGAATTGTCGAACTTATATGTCGCTGTTTTGGTGTTTGAATTTTTAAAATCGCACACTGCTCGAAATGTGTAAAAAATTCGTAATTTTTAGAGGCCTGTAGCTATTTTTAATAAATAAAATGATTTCTGGTCAGAATCTTGTTAATTGTTTAGTAAATTCGTTCGTGAACCAAATGAGCTGAAATTTGAGTATGTCATGTCTCTATGATATTTATATGCTGTGTAAAATTTTTAAAATTTTTAGACAAAGTTTGATTTGATATGGTTAATAATTTATTTATTGAATCTGCGGAAAGTTGTTTGAATTTTTATAAATCGGTTGTTCGATGAAAAATTTTGAAATTTTTCTGAGATGTTTTTTTTTTATGTGTAGAATCATGCTGTTAAAAGATGAGAATTTGTGGAGTCCATTTTGATTCGGTTTTAATTAAAATTCGATAAACTGCTGAATCTCGTATGAATTTTTAAAAATAGCAGCAGTTAATGTTAAGGGTTGAGATTTTTACATGTTGATTCTGTCATGCTGTATGTTGAGGTGTTAAATGTTCAAGTCCTGATTCCTTCATTAGGTTTAAGTATAAATTCATGACTCGGTTTTGCTGATATCCTGTGTGAATTTTATAAAATAGTGTACTTGGGATTTGAAGCTGAAAATTTGAGGTTTTGCTTAACTCTGGAAGGTGAAATAAAAACTGTGAATCGTCTCGTTTTCTGTTTCCTTGAGTGTTCGACTTAGTCAATCTGTGCCTTGGATTATGTGAACTCCCATGTGAACTTGGTTGAGTCTAGATGTTGAGTCTAAGTGTTCCATCGTCCACAGGACTTCACGAACAACTTAGTTAAATCAAGTTCAACTAAGTATGATTGTAATTTTTCTGTTTAAGTCAGAATAGATGTTGATTATAGCATCTGGACTTAATGTATGTGTTTGACGAGCCGAGCTCGCAGCCTATCCGTGCTTTCGTAATTATCTCCTTTTCGCGACCAGGTGGGTTTTATTTAAAAATTGTCTATGCCATAAATTATTTACATTCGTTGATTGGCGTGATTAATGCATGCGTGTGAACCATGTAACCCTCGTTGTGAGTTGTATGTCCTTCGAGCGGTTGTCCCCGTCGTTGTGAGCTGTATGTCCTTCGACGGTGCGTTTGATAGGCAGTCTCCCTAGCCTAATGATAGGCAAGGCCGATGTGAGCTGTATGTCCTTCGGTATTTTACTCCCATTGTTCACTAGTGGAAAAAACACTTTTTATATCGGGTGAAATTGGCTTTTTATATCGGTTTTCACTTCGATATAGTTTCAGCCCATATAATAAGTGTCACCTTTTTATATCGGGCAACACCACACATAGAAAGTAAACTTTTTATATCGGGTGAATGAATCACCCCATCTAGAAGAGACATCTGAAAAACAGAATTATAGAATACCCGATATAGAAAATATGCTTTCTATATCGGGTGAATGAGTCACCCCATATAAAAATTGTCTTTTTATATGGGGTGGACTTCGAACCCGATATAGAAAGTAGATTCTACGTGTTGTTTTTAAACCGATATAAGAGATTTTTTACCAATATAATTTTTTTATATAATACCTTATTACCCGATATAAAAAGTTGATAAATGGTCTTTTTTTTACACCTGTTTAGTTCAAACCAAATGTACCATCAATATAACTAAATAGACAAAAATAAAATAAATTTACTAAAATTAGTCCATTATCAATAATACAATGGAGTTTAACATTTCTAAAAAATCTAACAATACTACCAAACTCAAATAGTTCAACCTAAACCAAATATTCCCAACAAAAACCTATATAGTCTACTACTTTGCCAATGAGGTGATATAGAGAAAATACTCGGTCCACCGTCTCTATATATCATCAATTTCTTCTTCCAAGTATGCTTCTTCCAAATCAAACACCTAATTGAAAAACCATAAATAATAATAAATCAAGACTAAAATAACATAATTAATACTTACTATATATAAGATAATATAATCTCAATATCTAATGAGTTTTATTATTGTGGTGGCTCTGGAAATCGCGCAATATTTGGGTCTTTGAAGGAGTCTGGAGGCATGATAGAGGTATTTTATTGGGTGCTTGGGGAGAATGGCAAGAAACGGTTACACTCGGCAACAAAAGAGCTCATCAGAGGCAAGAAAGACTAGTTAGGTCTACTTAGCTAGTTCAGTGGCTAGTTTTTTCTTTTCTCTTATTATGATGTTGTGTAGTATCTGTTTATTTGTCCCTAGAACACTGGAGGGCTCAGTTTGTTTACACTGCCTTTAGTGTTGTTAGTATTTCTTTGTATTTAGCCCACTACATGTAGTGGTGCTCCCTGGCCTTGCCTTCGGCATAAGCGTAATGCTTCTCTTGTATTTGAACATCTATTTTGATTTATAGAGAATTTCCTATCGTTTTGAGAAAAAAAAAATGAGTTTTATTATTATTATTATCCAAAATTACCTTTTCAAATCCGTCAACAACGTCGAGTTTTATGATTTCCAGCATATATCTCATAACATAATACCCGCATTCTTCACCTCCTTTTTGTCGGTGACACATAAATAAAATTAAAATAAAAAAATAGTTTCATAATTACCAAATGAAACCAAGAGATAATGTACTAGTACTATCATACACAAACAGAGAGGAGTCATATTGACTTTGTTTGATAAATTCATGTACCTTTGGATAAACCCATGTCGGCTTCTTCAGTTTCTGAGTATGGAGTCCCTTCATGACTTTGCATGCTCTAAGAGCCCTGACACGATTATTTTAAAATTAGTGAAGAGAAAATATCAAATGTAAATAATGTGAAAAGAAAATGTTGAATACTAATTTCAAGCGTACGTGTTGATTTTGTCCATCAAATCCATATTAGGCTTTTTCGATAAGGAACAAAATCAAGCCACCGTACTATTTTTCGGGTTAATAACAATTAGTTGCTAATGATCCCTGAAATTCCACAAAATAAGATACGCAATTTTATTATTTCTTTCTTACGTCGTCTATCCTGCGGGTCAAAAAGTATAGTGTATCAACAAGTGAATCAATAGCCAATGTAATCACCAGCAATAAAGACACACATATGCTGACCAGAGGCAACATCAAGTATCAAAATTAAAAGATAAATGCAACACAAATGGTCTGCACTGAGATGGACTTACAACACCACTGGTGCAACAGTCAAGAACGTCCTGTTTCGAGTGAGCTGCATGTCGTTGTCTACCTGCACCCACCAAGTCAATCTATTGTAAATGTAAATACCCTGATCATCTGCAAAAGGCGTGCCTTTCTTCCAATAAAAGAAGTGATATGTGACCTGAGCATAAAAAAGAAAATCCACCATTTTATACGTGAAGTACCTCTAAGAAAAGCACTATAACCCCTAGAGAAAAAAAAATAAGAAAGCAAGTGAAATTAAAAGCNGCAGGTGAAATTAAAAGCTTTCTGGTGCATTGTCGTGTGATTATAATTAATAACCAAACAATGTGCACAACCCCACTGCATAAAAATATGATACAACATAATGAAACCCAAGTCAAAGTTTAATGCGAACGGCCATCAAATCTCTATAATCATTTCTTCTTATTCAGACAGACTCATGTGCTAAGTAAATTTGCATGTTATTCATGTAGCTATTGGGTGTATGAAGGAAAAGGAAACTTTAACAGATGGAGTAACATTTTATTTACAAATTTCAGATAAGATATCATGGTATTTTAGGTAAGCTCTCCCATTCAACGCATCAGTACCAGTACCAATATGTATTCTGATGTAAAATGAAATAAGGATTCTTGCAGATTAGGTTAAGTAGAGCAATTTCAACTTGCAATATGCAACAAGCTCAGATCTCCCTGATACACTGATAGAGGTGCTGTTCAACAATGAATTGAACAGAAAAAATAATGTCAGCATCACCCAGTAGTAGACTAAAGAGAGTCCAAAAATGCAAACCCAGTTGCTCCTCCAGAGCCGAAGTATTATCAAGCAAGTATGAATTGGATAGGAAGCTGACACAATTTCGAACCGTTTTCCACAATTGCAACCTCTTCTACTAAAATCAATAATCGGAAATAATTATAACAAATAAACAACTCCTACCATCAAGTCATGCAAAGCTACACGGTTTTATGTAAAATTGAAAAGGCCAATAAATTTTGCAAATGTATTTGAATATCAGCTGGGAGTTGTATCAGTGAGAGTAGAAAAACGTTGGGAGTTGGTATTATGAATCTTTGCAGGATCATCAAGTTATTCAAACCGAGTAAAAACTAATGATTTTGATACTTCAAGTAAGCTGATTTGGTTTGTTGTACCTAACACCCACATGCAAATGACTGATCATGACTATTCGCAGTTTGCCAGTTCCTCTGTTTATTGACTGTTTCTCATTCTTATGGAATTTCACTTTCTTCAGAAAACAAAATAAAAAAGGAAAAAACAAAGAGATAGAAACACTTATACTATTTTAAGATTCTTATTGCCTTCTCACTAGTACACTTTGATATTTGGTAGATTTAGTTGAAAAATTATGCAATATTGATAAGTTTTTATATATATATATATGTCTAAATTATTTGATAGTTGATAGAGTAGTTTTTGATTTTATAGCTAAAAGGCTCTTGTAAGACATATAGATACCAGGATAAGTTTGCACAAATGTAGGAAATAGTCTAAGTTTGTTATATCAGAAATCAAAAGAAAATACAACAAAATTAAAATTGTGGCAATTTCTCAATGAATTCAAACCCAAGTCACCAATGATTGTAGACCAATCACAGCTTATCTATCATATCTTTATGGACAAAGAATAACAACTATTTTCATCATAACAACAACTGACCATCAAATTTAGCCGAAACCCGAAGCAGTGATAATCGAAGAAACTTAAAGAATTCAAGCTTAGGTCACCAATGATTCTAGGTTAATCACAACTATATCATATTTTTTGCACAAGAAAACTATTTTCATCAAAACAGATTAGACAAATGACCCTTAAATTTAGCAGAAACCCAAATCGGTGATCATCAATGAACCCGCTACATCGGAGTCATGTTTGATTATTGAATATCACAATCATTTTGGAACTTAGAGCTAAAGTAAAAAACTGTTCTACCCAAAAACATGACCCAAATTTTACAGAGAACACTAGAAAGAGCATTGCTCATGGCAAACCCAAGATCGGTGAACAAAAACATTTATTCCAAAAGAAGAATTTATCAAGTTAATCAAACAACACTTCATCCGATCTAAAATTTAAATAGCTTTATCATGATGCCATTTTTCGCTACAACTATCACCATATGAATGGAAAGCTAGAGAAGATAAATCACAAACCTTTCCACTAACTCAAGTTCAGAAAGAACAATAGTGTAAAATGTAATTCTATTGAGTCTTGTTATCTTGTCGATAACTCGATACTAAAGCTATACCAAGTAGAAGGAAACACACATACACATCTAAGCAAATTAAGTCACCAAACAATAGCAGAACTAGACATGGTCCAGAACTCATGAAACAATAAAACCAACTAGACATCACCAGAATTCATGAAACAATAAAACCATTCACATAATAACTAACAACATGTGTCCATACAGTAACTTCAAAATATTATGAAAATTGTATTAATTCGGTGAAATAAGTAGGCACAGAACAAAAACAATTTTGAAAAAAATTAATGTATGCAGAGAATTGAGACAGTAGGGCAACTCACGAAGGATGTCTGGTGTGTCAGCAGTACCGGTGGCGGAGGCAAAATGTGTTCAACGGAGTTAGGGACTAAAAATTCACGACGGAAGGAAACAGGGGCTAGAACTTCACGGTGGACGGAATCGGGGGCTAGAACTTCACGATCGACGGAAACGAGGGCTGGAACCGAACGCGTACACGGCGCGTGGAGGCGAGGCTACAAAGACGGGCGGCAGCTGGAAATTCACGACGGAGGAAAGCGGGAACTTCACGGAAGACGGACGTAATTGAAGGCTGGAACTGAATAGGTTCACGACGCACGGAGTAGAGGTGGGGCTAGAAAGACGGAGGAGGGAGTTGGAATTTCATGGCGGGCGGAAGCGAGAGGTTGGGCTGGAAAGACGAAGCCAATTTGTTCACGACGCGCAGGGGAGGTCGAGAGGGAAAGTGAACAGTCACTCTGTGGGAGAGCCAATTTGTTTACCCTAGTGATGAATTACTTTGTGTAAATATGATTTGTACGTATATGATTTATTTTCTGTATGTGGTGAGTAAAAACTGCATATAGATAATTTACATTTTATATGTGGTGAAGAATGACCCTATGTTAATTTTGAAGGGCCTTGGGTTTCTACATATGGTTACTAGAACTATATATACATAACAATAATTTTATTACAAAAATGCCATCGTCCTACTTTCCGTATCGGGTATGTGACAACCGATATAAAAAGTGACATCTAGAATGTGTTTTTTCTACTAGTGGTTGTGAGCTGTATGTCCTTCAATGGCTAATGATAGGTGTGCACATTGAGTAAAAATGTTATGATTAGGAGATGTGATAATTGAATGTTTCGTGTTCATGCTGCAACCATGCTTAACTGTTATTGTATATAATTTATTGCATAGAGGTGAGCACTACTTTTTCCTACTGTGCTCATCCCCACCTGAAATTAACATTTCAGGTTAGGCAAGGTAGGCGCGACGGCATGATGGCGAGTGGATGGTCAAAATTACATTATTTGCTTCCGCTTTATTTTGAATAAGTTAACCCGAACTGATGAATTTGAAAATTTTGGGTTATGAACATGTTATTTCATTTCAGACCATGTCTTTGAATTATGTTGGATTTTGAACATATGATTTGGTTCTTATTATTGAACTACGTATAGATATTCATGCTGAATGTGTTGTTTGGATATCATGTGAACTGTTGGTTTTAGGACAATGAAGTCCATGTGAAAAACCGGGTTATGAATTCCCGTGAGGTTTCAAATATGAATTGAAATCAAGATAATGCCCTAATGGTATGGATTTTGAAAAATGAATTTAAAAAATGTTAACTTGATTTTTGAATAAGCCATAGATTATTTCTTAAATCAAAGTGGGGCGTTATAATAGTTATCAATATTTTAATTCAATCATTTTTTAACTCAATATTTTAAGAAAAATATTTTAACTCAATCATTTTTTTTAACTCAACTTTAACTTAACCCCACTATCATCAATATTATCAATATAATTAAATAAGATCAATCAATTATTCATACACACCACATCAACCTTAATTCACTATTCATCAACTCACATTATTTTAACTAACAATCACATCAAATCATATCTCTCGTACTTTGACATCAATTTAATTTTGATTATTTTATTTTAAATATTATTTTAATACCCACTAACAACTAATCACACCACATTTTTCAAAATTAACCAAACCAAACCAAAAAGTTCAACAAAACCAAAAAAAATTATATCAAACCATGCTCTAGGTGTAGAAATTATACAGATCCATGGTTATTCTTCTTCGTACGAAAAAAAAAAAAGGCTTGACTGTATTAACAATCGATGGAAGGGTAAATCGATGAACATGGTCCATTTCTGAAAGATATATATTGAACCCACATCATTGATTTCTATCATTTTTGGTGTCGTGGTTGAATAAATTGGAAAATATATGTAGTTTTTCTAATCTATATCTATATCGATACCTAGTATTATAAAATAGCAATAAGAATTTACTTTAAGTAGAAAGTAAAATCCCGCCTAAAAATTTAGATTTTACTAAAATTGGTAACTTTTTTAAAAATATTTGAAAAACTTGAAGTTGATTTTTAATTTGAATTTCAAATTCATTCAAATTTAAAAGAAAATATCATAAGCAGATTTTGTTGGATAAATTTTATTTATCTTAACTTACATATAATCACATTCCTAACACACATTAAACTTAGTTATATATTTTTAAATTAATCACATCAATAAATAATATTAATATACATTAAATATTTATCATTATATAAAAAAAGAATATTACTTCTATAAATGTTATAAATAATAATGACATTATACGACAATAAATTTTTGAATAAAATAATATTTGAGTATTATGATGAACTAAAATATGTAAAATTATTATTTTTTTGTATTAAAAAATAAATATGTGTTAGAATATTATTTATATTAATATAAACGGGTCAACGGACTAATACATTGTTAAAATAAAGTTTTGCAAAATTATTTTAAGGTACGAAACTCCCGTGCATCGCACGGGATTTTCACTAGTTAGAATTAATAAAGCAAATTAAAAAGGGAGGGTTAGACTATGAAAACTTGGAATGAAATAATAAAAAATAATTTAAAATATTT